TGAATGAAGGACGTCAGTTCCTTTTTTTCATTATTCCATTTTTCATCAACTGAGAGCTCTATGATAAAGCATTTGACATGATCAAGTTCTCTTCTTTTATTTTTATTTAAAAATTAATAATTAATTAGCTAACGAAAATTAGTGCTGTTTCATATCTCAATGCTTAGTCATCCTTGAATAGTGATAGATAAAAGCAAAACACTCATAGTAACATCTAGATAGGAATATAATTGATTTTCCGTATTACTATCAAAGAATGACTGATCAAGACAAGAGTTTCGAGATAAAACCTTTATTCAGATCGAACAAGTACGCTCTTTAACATTCGTTAATTATCTTGTACAGTGAAATAAGTAGTGTATATGGTCGTTTCCGGATGTAAACAGATTTCGTATATTTCGTTCTGAGTAGTATTAAAAAGGTACGTAAGTAAAAGTGACCGACAATAGATGGATGAAGGAAAAGGTAATTATATATGAACCAGCTAACTTTGGCATACTCGAGCTGCTCTTCTCAATGTTCCTCACAGTTCACGCCGGTATTTTACTGTATGCAATGAGCATAAGTAAAGCAAAACAATTTTTAATGATTTCTAGTAACGTACTTGTGAAAGAACGATAGGCTAAAGGAATACAATGCCTATAAGAACATTATTGATGCACATATCGATGATCATCATATATTGGTATTATTCTACACAAAAAAATTTAGATGTACTTTTAGTTTCTTCGCTGCACGTGTCTTCTTTAGAGATCTCACGAGCTGCGGAATAAGGAAAGCGCAAAAGTGATATTTAGTCGCGATTCAAGAAGTACCTGTCTTCAAGAAAAAAACATACCTCTCATTTGGTGCTAGTGAGCTTTTTATTTCTCCATGTCCTCGGAATTCCACTCTCTCTCGGACAAAAAAAAAATGCCTTTTTCCATTTCATTTTTGCATCACTTAATATGTTGTTTTAAAAAAAACAAACTATACCACAAGATGCAGCATGAAAAGCCCTTCAACCCACAAAGTAAGGCTTAGTTTAATTGTGTACTTTTGTGTCAAAAAAAAAAAAAAATTCTATGCAACAAATTTTCAACATTGCGGAAAAATCATTTTTTTCTGTGCGAACGAGAAACTCCTTTTTCTTATTTCATCTTTTTATGAGTTAATATGTTTTCGTAAAAAAAAAATATACTATGAGATGTAGCGTGAAAACTTCTACAATTTACATAGGACAGTTTATTGAAGTAAGAAAAAATGAATTTCTCATTGGTGCAGAAAAATGATTCTTTCGCAGCGTTGAAAATTGGTTGGACACAATTTTGCTCTTTTCGAAAACAAAAAGTAAACAGTTAAAATAAGATTTACTTTGTAAATCGTAGAATTTCTCACGCTGCATCTTGTGGTATATTTTGTTTTTTTAAAACAAAGTATTAAGTGATGCAAAAATGAAATGGAAAAAGGCAATTTTTTTGTCCTAGGGAGAGTACTTCGCTGACTGTTCGAGATTTCACCACAAATGCCACAGTCACGGTTGGTGCACTCATCGCCGTTAATGCAGTTGGGAAAGTGTATAAAAATGGAGCATTAATAGCAGATGCTAGAACCTCAGATGGTAAACGTTTGCTAAGCACACTAAATACCTTACTTAGTATCAGTTCAACTGTTGCTAGCACTTTTCCGGTTGGAACTGCAATAATACTTGCTTGTGTAGTAACTAATGCTAAACTCACTAAAGCTCAAGCTAAAAAAGTGTCAAAATGGCTCATGATGGGTTGGCTCCAGCAATCAATTCTATTCATACGATGTTTGACGGAGATATCGTCTTCACATTAGCCACTGGAGCTTCTCCTATATCGGATATTGATCTCGTCGGTATAATGGCGCCTGAAACTGTCGAACGTGCAATCATTCGAGCCGTTGAGCAAGCGATCAGTCTCTCGGGCCTCTCTAGCATACATGAGCTGGGCTCAACAGACGATTAACTTGTATTCAACATTAGTATATTAGCGTTCTTATTGTTCTTAGAATGTGTCTAGAAGAAATAACATACACCAAAAAAAGTGCAGTATATATTTGTCGATTGTATCCTATTACTACTGAAAAAAGTCATGTTTAAGCACAGATTTTTCGTTTTTATACAAGAAAATGATACTGTCCGAAAGTTTAGTAGAGCCAGGAATGACCTATCGAATATTCTAATGACTCTAAGTCTCTCTGTACATTTACGAAGGTTGTAAGGCTCTAAAGTGTTTCAGAATTCCTGAAATTCAGAAAGATGTTCTATTGAAGTTATTTTTTTAGTTTTCATACAATACTTCCATTTAACAGAGAACGAGTTTGTGGGGCAATTCCGATTTGTAGTTGCCCATGTGTGGCTTTAGTAAAGGCTGTTAAATTACTAATAGTATTTTGAATTCTAATACTGAGATGTTCCAAAAAACTTTTCATAACTCAATCAGAAACATAAATGTTGAGCTTTCTTATCACTTTATTTTTTAAAAATGCGTTCTCTTAAGCACTGTTTCAAATGAAATGTACATTAGGCTTCTAAGTGTCGAGCAATAATCACAATCAGTTTAAAATTGTTGCAAAAACTTTCGTTCTGTAGAATGCATACTTTGGACTACTCTTTCCACTGGTGTTTGAGTTTAGTCATTTTATTCTTTTTATTGCAAAATAATTTCCTGTACTACTACTCTTTGACTGATTTTGTTAATACTAACCTTTCAAGGTTCTAACATAATATGATGCTAGTTCAAATTTTTTTCTTTCTGCTGCGAAAGATTGTTTGTATTTACTCAGACTTGATGCAAGTAGAATAAGATCAGACATTCCCTCCTGTCTCGTTAAGAGAAGATCGAAGAGTTCATTTTTCAAAATAATGGAAACCTTTATAATGATTTTTTTTTTCAAATTTGCCCTTCAGATATACTTAAAACCAAAATAATCTTTCTTTTATTAACTTATCACTAACGTTTATTGTTGTGACAGTTCCAAAATAAAAACAAGAGTAATTCATTTTCTAAGTTAAACTTACTATCAAATTGATTACTGAGATATCCAAAATGGTTTCAAAAATGAGTAGTCGATTCTTTTTAGTTAAAACTGTCTATCTAGTTGCGTTTTATAAAACACTTCTATCTTTGCAAACTAAGCTTTTCCTATTGAAAAAACTGCAATAGAATAGTAAACAGAAAATAGTTTAAGTCATTAATACCTAATGATACCTTGATTTTAGTGAGTAGATTTATACGCGTTGAGAAATGAACAAAGAAACATTCAGAAAGACTCTACAATGATACGTTTTTATGCCTCCAAAAACAATGTTGAACATTCTTCGTTTTAATGATAATGTATATCTACATCTCTTGATGTCAAACATAAATTAATGTTTTTTCAAACAAAGTCGAGTCGATTAGAATCTTACAAGATTATCAGTTTTTATACCAAACTGATCTGACGGCTTTATTCAGTATTATATTCCTACCCTATTCTATTGTTTTTGTACTTTGTACTCTATCTGGTCTTACAACAATACAAATAATTCATTACTTTACTAGAAAATCTTCCATCTGTTAATGTAAAAACAAGTTTATTGCAGACTGAATTTATCTTCGCAAAACAATGCATACTTACCGCATTCTTGAATACGGTATGGTTGAATAGGGCTGAACGACTCTTAATTTAGATAGGTCCTCATTTGTATCGTTCTAATTTCTCTTATCTAGTATTGCTTATGATTTTAACTAATGTTAAATGAGAGCCAAACAGCTTGTTTCTTTTTCATTTAATACGCACAAGTATACTGCAAACAGGATTAGATGCAACAAAAAAATTATAAGCAATTTCCAGAATTGAAATCAATTCAAAATCATTGCTAAGTATCGTACAAGGCTACCCCAGACTGTTTTAAGGTTTTTTGGACGTCCAAGAGACTTTAAAACGATTGCACAGTTGGTACGGTAGCTTAGAAAAATGTTTCAGAAATTGATATGAACAGATCCTCTTTCGTATTGCATATGACGTTTTTTAGTATGTTACGGTTTTGCACAGCGATATATCTGGCATTTTTCCAATTTCCGGAACGAAAACTGTGCGTCCTTAGCCCGATGAGATGCCAACTTTACTTTATACTTGTCAAATGTCTTGTACGTGAAATTCACCAAAACGATGTCAAATAAGATAAGGCTTCGAATATGGGAATGTTTAGAATAAGAGAAGAGTTTCATAGAAGTTTTGTGTTTCGAATCCCTAGTTTTTGAAACAGTTGTGATAATGAACCACTTTCGTCTTTGTTTTCTTTATGACCAGCAAGATATTGATCATTTTGTTTCAAGTTAAAACAAAAATTAGACGTTCGTATTTCCAGCAAAAACTAGTCGTTACACTCATACTCTTATAGTTATAGGTTTAGAATGGCCACGACGAATAGAACTTAACAACATAAACTATACTAGAGGATATACAAGTATAACATACTAACAATATGTATGTTTACGATTTATAACTTTCTTTTCTTTGTTTAATTTTTTTTGATTATTGTATAAAATCATAAATCGATACTTTGTCTTTTTGTTATTAAACCTTGAAGCTACACTCATAATCTGATAGAACTTGCCGAATTGAGGACTTTTCGTAATGGGGGACATTGCGTTCAAAATGGTACTCTGAATAAAATAGTATGATATCAGTTTTCGATGAATTCCCTCTATTTGTCCATTTTCCCCATCTACAGTCTAATACCCTCTTCATGGAGAAAATTAAAAAAAGAATACCTTTTATATTGCAATATGAAAACCACATTTTAGTCTGTCTTTGATAAAAAATATCAACGTTTTTGTTGTTACTTGGTAAAGCTTTACACGTAAGACGGATCTCTAAAGGAATCGGATAATGAAAATCAAGCGATTGATTGCTATGATATATCAGTTATATCTGAAAGTAATAATGGAGAACCATGATCATTTTCTCAACAATGTTAGCTTTTGACATAATTTATAATTAAAATTAAGATGAAAACATCGATCAAACACTTACCTGTTGAATTATGGATCTCAATCTTTTCTTATTTGGAAGTACATGATCTTTTTCAAGCGTTCACTAATTTAAATAATTATTTTGATAAATTAATTGCGTCTAATTATCTTTTATTTAATGTACGATTAGGGAAAAGTGATCATAATCCATTAGAATATTCTATTCGACTATATTGGTCTGATTCAATACTAAATCGTATTATTAGTCTTCAACCAATTATTCAACATAAAACTTCTCATATACCTGAATTTCTTCGTTGGCATTGTTCGAAATTGATTTAATTAAAGTCTTTAAAAGTTAAATTACGTAGATAAGAAATTCCAACTATGTGTATTGCTGTAAAACAATTTAATTCTCTTTCTCACCTTTCTATAGAATGTTGATAGTACCAATCAATTGTAATTCGAACCAAATTAGTCAAATAGAAATATTTTATATCAAACTTCAAGATGATTCACATAATTCGATGATTAATTTACTTTTAAATCGGATGCCAAAATTGCAAAGACTTGAAATGAATACCTGTGAAAGTTATTTCGATGAGCGAGTTTCGCTGCTTAGTAACCACTATTTATTTTTCCAAAACTTCGAACTATTAAAATTAGTTGATCATCAAGAAACTCTGATCAAAATTTTTTCAACAGTTTACATCAAATATTACCAAATTTAAAATGTCTTTTTCTCAATTTGATTCATGATTATTTTACTAAAGATTTTCTCAATACTTTAATTTATTATTGGTGGCCAGTTATTGGACAATTAGAACGAATCAATATATTTATTAAATTTCGAAGAACTCACATGACAGTTGATAATAATATGCGGATAAATTTCAATCAATCTTACTCGCCATTGACGTAAAATATTTCGGATTTGTCAACTTCAAATGGGCCGAAAAATTTTTTATAGCACATAGGATGAGTGAAATTTCTATTTGTAAATTTTGTTAACAAATAAAATAACTTGGATAAAATTATGCTTCATCAAAGATAATTATCAATAATTTTTCTATAAGAAAAAAAACGAGTTCATGAGTTCGTTCGAAATAAATAAGTTGACTAAATTAATGCAAACAAATATATTCTAGCTGGTGGTGTAATTAGGATTGAAGATGTTCTTGCTTGATCTCATTTGCAATAAATACAACTAAAGATTTTGCTGTTATTGTTGGTTTGACAAATTTTGTTTATCAATTTCCTATTCCATTTGAACAACCCGAAATCAATGCACGTTGACGTTTTTTTTCTGATGAGGAAACTACCCCAACTGACGCCTGCCATTTGAATTCATAGCAGACTCACATACAAGTCTCAAAGAAATTAGCAAAAAGTCTAAAAGAGTTTGTCTTCATGGGTATTTGGTGCCAAGTTATGATCGGTCTACTGGGTTTTCAACTCAATTGTAGGTAGTTTCCGAAAACTTCAATCACAAAATTTCGCCTGTATATAAGTCTGATAGTTCTTTGAGTATCCTGAAAGTTTCCGGCGAAGAGAGTGTTCCTTCGTCAGGATATTGAATTTCTAAAAACTTTTGCAGTAGGACCTAAAGGGCGTGAGTGTAAGTGTGATAGGTGTGGATCTAGGTGTTATACTGGTCACTGTAGCATCCAGCTGACTCACGCACACCATGAGGCAGCCACACACATTCATCCACAAACCTACGCCTCTCCAACCACAGCTATACCTTAATCTACACCGTCGACACACACAGACTCACGCTCTGCTGCACCTACATCGACATCCTCCACAAACTGATGTCCAGATCCAGACCTCAATCCACAGCGGTATTCAAGATCGAAACCAACAGCCTGAGTCATACCTATACCCACACACGCAGCCATGTCACATCCACCCCCACGCGCGGCTACATCTACACCCGCACCAAAATCTAAGACGATTCAGTCTTACACTCGCATTCACACTCTCCGCACACGCACACTCACAGCACTTCCAAGCCCAATCCCACACCCACACTCCTATACACATTACTCATGGGAAAGATTACTGTATGCGGAATTGTATAACAAGAACGATGTATCGTAGAGATTTCTTAGAATTCTCACATCTTACAATTTATCAATGATAAATTTTATTATTATGAGTATATAGATAAGCTAAATATCGAGAAATAGTTAAAGCCGTGTTTGAAATGTAGCAAATATTTGAATCTCGCCATGATGCATCAGCATGTTCACAATTACAGGCACTGCCTGTTGGTACCTGGCTGGCAAAGGCATTAATAAATTTATAAGACGCGCAAAAAGTTATAAGACTAGTCGGTATTAAGTATATTCTAGGATTTGTTGAGTTCACATCAACTCCTAGTCCACTCCAATTATCCAAATCTGGTTCATCATTTATGTAGTTCATATGGGTTAAATTACATTCACATAAAGAACGAAGTGGCATACCTATCAATCCTTCCGAACACCATTTTGTAGCAGTTTCTCGATCCTTGAATGTATTATCAATAGGAACGCATTTCATTGTATATGGATAGTTATGATAGATTCCAAATTCACCACGTCGATAGTTGATTAAGGCTTGTAATGATAGATCAATATTGTGATCCCACGTGTACGAATTAAGAACAATCTTTTGTCCCAATGCAGCTTTCTCTTCACGTTCATGTTCATTTTTTATCCAATACTCAATAATAGATAGAATTTCTCCATCAGTCATATTCATTGATATTTGAACGACATATCGACGGAATTCTTCTTCACGTTCGAATGGAATATCTCCGACTATAAGACAACCACTAAGTGCTACTTCACTATATTTATTAATTGCATAACGATATCGAGATGAATCGACGACAACTATTTTTGCTCGACGAAGAAGTGCTGCATAATCATGAACCTGCGATTCACTCTGTTCTACTGAACGGTTCTCGACAAAATAACCCGGATGCTTGTGCAGATAGCTATTTTTTATCAATCCATTTTTGACCATTTGACCAAGGCGTATCCGAAGTGGATAAATCAAATTGTCGCGAGCTCCAACCACAAGAAAATCGATATCTCTAACAGGAGGCTTATCACTGTTCAATGCCACAGGTGGATAAAAGACAGCTGGTTCAGCACATATTGGTATATGGGCAATTACACGATTGTAAGAGAAAGACATATGATATAAGTCCATTTCGTATGCATATCCCTGCATTAGAATCGTTGTATTTTCATCAATCACAGATGGAAGACAACGATAACCCCAACATTCATGTTCCCAAGTCATGATGGGCGAATATCGACTGGCCAAGCGAAGATCTTTTTTAGAATAAAAACCACCTGACTGGTAGATAACATCAAAATAGTCAAATGAACCAAACCGTTTATTAATATTCTCTATGATTGTCATTGATGTATTGTAATCTAAAATTTCAATTATATGATCTTTCATTTACCATTGTCGAATTAAGCAATCTGAACATTTTAAATCTCATATATAAAATGAAAATATAAAGCAGTCACAATCTTGTCATTTCTATCTCTGGAGTAAAAAGCCTTTTGCAAGATAAAACATAGAAAAGAGTATCTACGGAGATATTAGCATGCAGGAGCTTTTTGAGTGTAGCCGCCAAAAAAATCCTAGAGGATATAATGAAAGAATTTGCTATAGAAAAGGCTTCTATACTTAGTAGTGATGTGCAAGTTCAACATTTTGCTATCCTCAGTTCTTGTCCGTAGGTTCGAAGAAAAGCCGTCGTTTTTTTTTCTAAATCTGAAAATCTTTGGGCAAATTATCAAAGGTGACAAAAGTATATAGTTTAAAAAATTTATCAAGTTACTGGTCAATTCAGCATAAAAAATCGTATTTTCTAAACTCAGAAATTTTAGTTTGTAGAAATTATTAAGTATAAAATAGTGAATGTAAGTTTGTATCTAAACTTCAGACTTTACCTTGTAGACATCGTTCCTGTTTTAAAATAAAAAAATACTCAACTAAATCTACAAGTATTTAAATAGATTAATTCATGATCCAGAAATCCTAAATTGCATGTCGACATGTCTGTTTCGGACAGTGGAACGAGTTGATAGTACATTTCCTTCACCATATACTTCAATACTCATTAACAGTCGTGTTTTATAAAAGTATATTTCGAACTCTTGGTTTTCATTTAGTTTCATGGGTTTCTAACATCTCAGATTTTGCGACTTTCAGAATATAAACACACCCATTCCACACCCATTTCTGAAAAATCCAATGATATTCATCGAATGGTTGTGAAGAAAAAAATCCGATGAGATACAGATGTTTTTGCTCATATATCATCAATTTTTTAGGCTTGCAAATAGTTAACTGTTCGCTAATGTAAATTATCTAGGTAATTTGTAGGGATGCACCAATTCCAATTTTTAGAATTGGTCGGGATTTGTTGGAATCAATTAGGAATTTGTCGAAGTCGGTCACAATCGGCATCGATTAGGAGTAGACATGGTAAAAATCCAATGTAGAGTTGGACCATTGCCATCGAATGGTATTTGTATTGCTATGTCCCTCATTTTTCCGTTAAAAAACAGTTTTTTAAGAAGATAACGATTTTTTATAAGGTTTAATCGAAGGTAATCGGGGTCGAGGAATCTGAATCCGGAATCGGTTTCTTAAAACTTTGAACTTGATTTCCTGGTCAAATAAACTTGTCTCGTCTACCGATGATCGAACTTCATAAAAAATTTTTATTTTCTTAAAAAACTCATTTCTTGATGAAAAAAAGTAAGTTCAAAATTTTGAGAATCTGATTGCAGATTTGGATTCCTCGACACGATTACCTTTGGTCGAACTTTACAGAAAATCATTATTTTCTTAAAACAACCCTTCCTTAGGGAAAATGCTGTTAGCGCAATCCCTTGCGGGATTAAAAATGTGAAACACGATGTAGCTGTTGTATCTAGTCACACGAATATGGCTTTCTCCGACATACGGTGGGACCCATTTATTCATCATTTCTTACTTAATTCTCTAGAACTACAAGAAGGAAGCAGTTGATTTATTCTTATGAGATTCTAGTGATATATAATCGTAAATCATGTATCAAAACGTCTGCCATGGTCTGTGATGAGTATAAGGTTTCTCTGGCACGGTCTGTGATGGTCTCTGGAGCNCCGGTGTGGCCTCTGAGGCGCCTCGGCCAGGGTCCGTGTGTTCGCTGGAGCCCCTCTGCCAGGGTCTGGGGGGGGGGGGGGGGGGGGGGGTAATGGTGCAAATTTCTACCCCCCGGACACTTCAACACTCCTTTCACAAAAAGTAGGGATATAGCAATACGAATGTCATTCAATACCTATAGCTCAACTCTGCGTTGGAATTGTGTCATGTATAACCCTAATCGGTGCCCATTGCGACAGATTCCGATCAATTCCGGACAAATTCCGACCGATACTGTTAGGATCACCATCTATATTATGCATAGATGAACGATGCTCCCTCCTTTCTTCTAGTCTGATATATACCTAATAAAAGATACTAGAATGGATTTGATGTAATAGTTTTTTATCTCTCTTCGAGCTGATAGTTGTTTTTTCGTTAAAACATTTCGAGCTAGACATAATGTTGTTTTTTTCGTTATAAAGAAAGTTATTTTCGTTTTCTTTTTTGTCGTTAAGCTATTGTTTAAAATTAACTTTTGTTGTTAATTTTTCTGTTTATGACTTTGTGAAAAAGGCCTAAGTTCGTAGAAAAGATTTCATTTTTAAAATTAAAATAAAAAATGGAACCTAACAAATTCGAACCAGTTCTAATTTCGACCAATTCTAAGAATTGGAATTGGTGCATCCCTGGTCGGTATGTACATACACATGGGTTTTGAACGTTTCTGACTTTAAAAAAGAACCAACCTTGGTCGACAAATGAATAGCATCATAACTCTAAGGATCGTTATTTTCTCTAGTTTGTCATACAAATTTCCACTAAAAGCAGCGTATCAATGTCGCTCTGATATGACTGAATTAATAATTGCTATTTGCTATTCTTTTGTGACCTAACAATGATCAAAAATTCATGGGAAAAGAAAAGCTAAAATATTTCATTCGATTATCTAGCTTCCGCATTTCTACGACTGGTTCCTGACTTCGATAATCAATGGGTAGAAGATACGTAGCATATGAATTTGATGGCTTACCTGGAAAACCTTGACCCCAAAGAGTGGCATCGATATTTGGATGTCGTTTCGCAGCATAATATTGAGCAAAATAAGCTCGATACATCGAGATCTGATACATGCGAAATGTGGTTAAGAAGAGCCATTTGTATAGTTTATTGATAGAATAGGTTGATAATCGATATTTGGCAATTCTTTCCATTGATATATTATAATCGATGCGTCTCGGAAAAGAAACTTCAGAAGTTTTAATATTGTGAATTATCATGTGTGAAGGTGAAATATGAAGCCATAGACTAATGGAAATAATTGCAAACTCAACGACACATAAGATAATGAGGTATTTTAAGTTATTTAGTTGCATGATAATCATTTTGACTTGTGTATAAAGTTCTTCTAGAAAATCTAAATATCAAGATGTTTATTCTTCTCCTGGAATTATATGAAATGATTATTGAATACGTAAGTTTAAAATAATTTCTGAAAACAAGTAGCCCTCATTCAACTGATTCACTGTCAGTTTTCGAAGTAATAGTACAGTTGTTAAAAAGAATTTACATCTAGATAGTGTGAAAGCTTTCGAACCTTTCTATCGTATTGTATCGTTAAAATATCGTACGATTCCATAGAGTTTTCTTGCAATCGTGCATCTAAGATTTATAAATCAACTACAAGTCGGTCGTCGGTGCTCATTACGGATGATCATTCATATCATTATCCTTATACGATATAGCTGAGGTTTTTGTAAACAAACCTATACTCACTAAAAAAAATCTTGAGCAGTCTCGACATTTTCCAGGTACAACTCTATGTTCATTCCTAATTTAACAATTGAATTATATAGTTTTCGAGCAAAATGTTTTTGTGCTGTCTCTAGGGTTGGCGCACTCGTCAGTATATACTACTAGAAAAACATATTCACGTAGTTACACAACCTTAAAAACGTGTGTAAATTGATTACAAATATGATCAGTACGGCCAATGAGAAGCCAAAGTGTGTAACTCACAAACTCTGACTGTTATAAATTTAGGGTATATTATCAGAGAAGTTAGAATAATTTATTTTAAAAAATGCCAAATGAATTAATAAATCAAAATTACAACGATTTCTATAGCTGATGTGTACACACAGGAAATTTAATTAATTAAAAAATGCTTGCTTTTTGAATTTTGATTCTACTAATTTAATTAGATTCATTTAGCATCGTTATACTGAAAAACCTTATTTGTATTATCAGCTACATCTTCAGTGCATAGTCTCTTTTTTCCTAATGGCAAAGTATACGATACATGCCATAAAAATTAGCAAATATCATTTTATTTTTTGTTTAGTTAGTTCTCAACCACGATGTTAGCCTGTTATACATATTGATTGAATCATTTAAGAAGTAACGTTCATCGACATCGAAGATCGATTCACTGGACCCTAGACTAACGGAATGAAGACTAGGATGTGCTTCACATTGAGCACTCAGACTCAATGAAGCGACTCGCCTTCCTCCCCAACGACTCACCATTCCATACATGCATCTGAAACAACGTCATGCTTTACTAGTATAAACAGTTCTTGGCGACTAGAATGGTCATTTGTGTATGAAAATGGTTTTTTATCCCACAGAAATGCTCATTTGTGCCAAGGCCTTGTTTCAGACAGACAGACACAGGTGAATTACGGTCTCTAGGCCCTATCCTTTCAGTCTAGGGAATAAGTTTTCGAGCACACCGCTCTTTTTCTCGATGAAGTTTGACATATAGTGTTGTGTTTTGACCAAACTTGTAATTAAATTAGTTCGTACTTTTCAAGATCCATTCTGTTCTAATTCAACTATTCAATTATGTAATAACTGAGGGTGAATATTTTAAACTATTTAATAATCAAGTAGTACAAAAAAACACATATGTCCCTCAATGAGGATGAAACAAAAATAGAATAATTGATTACCTGTAAAGGTTTTCAATAATTGAATTTAGCTTTCAAATTTGATTCTAATGAGAAATAGAAAACAATCTCAATAATTCTCTTTTAAATATTTGACAATCATGATAAACTTACATATCGAGAAAGTGTTTACATAGTCTGAGAGCACTATAAAAATATCTAATTAATTTTTTGAAAAGCATTATTTTATAATGATAACATATTTAAGAAAATAAAAGAAAATATTTTTCTCAAAAAGTATTTGATAAATAAAAATTAAGAAGGACAAATTTGAAAGTATGATTAACAGACACGACTCAAGAATTTAGTACAATTATTTCTATTATTTCTACGACATTTAATACTTCGGTACATATATTTGAGAGTTATCAAAATCAATCTTATTCTTGAAAATAGTACTGTATAATACTTGCCTACCAGGTTAAAATCAATAAAAATTCGCAACGTAAAAGCATAAATTTTTTATCGTGTAAAAATAAATAAGTAACGAGGAAAGAAGTAATACATGTCGTCCTGCATAAAATGTGACGAATTAGAAGAGCGACTAGTGATGTTTGAATATGCTTATTGATTACATATCTAGTGTATAAGTTATTGACAGAAAGTAATGCTTTTCTACCTGGGACATATATTTATTAATAAAGTATATTTTCTCTAACAAGGTCTATTGACTGCGCAATATGAAGACGTCATACAATTAATTCCGTTCTGTTTCGGTACATTATCAATCTTTTCTCCTTCTATTCATTTTTCACTTTTATATGTATCGTAGTCTCCTTCAAACACATCCCATGTCGCCTTTTTTTATCAACCCCATCACAGTAATACTATCGTACGATCCACTGTAGCTCACACCGGCCAATTATAAATGATTCCTCCTTATTTGTAATTGATCCCACTCTAGCGCTAAAATTTAGCCACACAGTGACTGAATAAAAAGCAGAGTCCACGATACTTAGGCTTATAATTCATTCTACTATAATCGGTAGAAAGTTTTCCGAAAATAACTTTTCAAAATTTTTTTAAATTGTTGTCATTTTTTATTTTTTTATTTTTCTAGGTCTTTACCATTTTTGTATTTAAAAAGTTTTTTAATTCACAATAAAAATATGAATAAAATGAAAACATCGGTGATTGTTAACTTCGTCGCACGACACTTCGTTGGATTCACTTCGTCGCAATCATTTCGTCGCATAACATTTTGTCGCGTTCTGTTCGTTGCAGAGTAATTACTGTCGTTCTCTTTCTATCTGCTTGTTGTATCTCACTTAATTAATGAATTTTTTTTTGTATAACCAATTGAAATAAAATAAATGAAAAATCCTATGAAATATGTACAATTAAAATAGACAAATAATAATTCCAACACTAATGACTGTAATTGAGAAAGCGGATCACAAAACGAATACTCATATATAATCTCAACAGGGCTAAAGTGAATGATGAATAATTAGATTTGTTACTCGGTTAATTAATAGTAACATAATCCAGACTAAAGATAAACACTGAAATAATATCCTTGAATATGAAGCCAGAAAAAAATACATTTTATTTTTCAATATCAACTCTCACTGCGAACTGCTCTTTAATCAAAATGTCTCAAATCGAAAAACTTCTTTTTGTGTAAAAGGAAAATCAATGATTCATCACGAAGGTTACATCTACACTGTAGAACGTACAACATCGACGAAATTGATCTTTCTTTGTCAGAATCGAGATTGTAAAAGTAAGTTAGCCCTTACTATCAGGCAATTAAAACAAAAATTATTGATCTATTAAGCTCGACGTCATACCAATTTATCTATGGACGTATTTCTCTCACAACCAATAGCCCACTGTCGTGCTCCACAAACTGATCGTGTACCTGTTATCCAATGAGCCATATTCCCAATTCTATTGTTGGCCCCCAACAAGCATAAAACAGGGACCATTCGCTTCTTACTTGTTACTAAGGACGGTCCGTTTTGTTTCATGTGTCTTCTTCTTCTTCTTCTTCTTCTTCTTTTCAATCGTTTTGTTGACCAAGGAAATGTTCACTTATCACGTTCTCTCTTCTCCACCCTAATGATCGCTTCACTCCTTTCATGTCCTACTCTTTTTCTTTATTCCTTACAAGAAAAAATCATATTGAAAAGATGAAGAAGTTAAAAAGCAATAGAACGAATATACAACCTATGAAAAAAAATTTATTTAAATAAATAAATATTAAACAACCTTTACAAGAGGTTCGTCAAAGATGGTAAAAAAAAGTACATATGTAAAACCAAAAATTGAGTAAGTAAATTGATTTGATAGGAATAACACAATTGAGCAGCTTATAATTTTTAATTCTTCCCATGCATCTTTCCACATGAATCCTGTGACGTGCAATGATGCGAGTCTTAATCACCTTTTCTGGAGAAAGCTGTAATTTTCTTTCCAAAAATGGCGGATGAATAAGAGTTAAATGCGAGTGCTGATGGTCAAGAGCAAAACCACGATCTGACACGATTTGATCACCATCGTCTATCAAATCTAATAATGATCCAGTACCAGTCATATTAAGAAGACTTCGGTCAGAAGTTGCGCCACCATAAAGAGGTGAAATGTAAGAAACTATTCCGTTTGGTGTAATACCAACAAGGGCTATAAATGAAACGAGACCATCATTATAGAAAAAACATCGATAGTTTTACCTTTCACGGTGTTAGTATTTTTATACGTAGACTATGTATCTTGTTGTGCCTGAGGATTAGTTGGTCACCAAGGCCCTCTGGAAAACTTTTGGGATTAGACACAATAGAAAACCTCGGATCTCCTCGTGCGAAGAGGGAAAAGGTAATATAACAGATAAACGAAAAAGATTAGTTATGAAAAAAATTGATGAATTTGTTTTTGAGAAAATTTCTTAAAGTTCTTGAAAGTGTATTTGGCCAAAACCTGAATAGAAATGGGCGAAATCAGAACAAGTAGAGAAATGATCAAT